CTTAAGTAAGGACAAAAATGTGGTTTTTCTCGCATAATGAACAGATGACTCTGACTATGACAACATCAGACATAGTCCCAGAAGTGCCTACTCTTGCTGCTGCTGCAGTTTCTGTTGGGCAGTCCTGTGTCTAGAACTGCTGCATACAACAGAATCCAATATAGATATTTCTTTCTTCTTCCCCAGCCCCTCACATCAAAGGGTGCCATGAGCTTTCTATCCTTGCTGGCCCTAAAGTTTCTCTGGAACCCTGGTTCTTTTCATCATGGCCCTTGTAGCTAGTTTCTTTATTAAAAAGCCTTTAAAAGTTCCATCTTGGAGTATGGTTAATTTCTGTCTCTGGTTGGTCCTTAGATCATCATGAAAGTACAGAACCATGGGGACAAAGAGAACCTTGAACAGACTTGGAGGTAGAGGTGAGCAGTTGGGAGAAGAAGTTGGCAGAGAGTGATTTTGGATTTTTCAAAAACAACTAAGGAAGTTAGAAATTAATGGAGAAATTTCTTACCAATTCTGAAAGGAAATTATCTTTCACCTAGAATTTTATTCTTAGTCAGAACATCAGTTAAGGGATTTCCCTAGTGGTCCAGTGGCTAAAAGACTCCACACTCGCAATGCAGGGTGCTGGTTCAATCACTGGTGAGAGAACTAGACCCCCATGTGCCACAACTAAAGATCCGCCTGCTGCAACTAAAAAATAAAGATCCTGCATGCCGCTGCAGAGACCTGGCACTGCCAAATAAATAAATAAACAAACATATGTTTTAAAAGGACATCAGTTAAATATTAAATAGTCTGAAGATATTTTCAGACCTTTAGGTTCTCTAGGAATTGACGTCGTTTCTCAGGAACCTCCTTGGGGAGGTTCCCCTTCACAATGAGAGAATAAGCAAATGAAAAGGAAGACACAGGACCTGGGAAACAGGAGATCCTAAGGGAGACGGAGGTGAAGGAACTCCTGCCAGAAACAACTGGGAGAGATCGCAGGTCAGCACAGGAAGCAACTGAACCAGTAAAAACAGGTCAGGGCTCCAACAGCAGCTTTAATAGAATACTTTTGAGAAGAGATTTAGACAATGGAGAACAATTTGAAAGTGCATTAGTGATAAATATATAGAAAGCAAAGCAAAAAGTGGCATACTTCCTAGGTTAGCAGTGGATAATATAAATACTATTAACCTAACAAAAATAAATATAAGTACAGGGGATAGGAAGTGTGTGATTGTGCACATGCATATGTGTGTGTGTTATAGTGGTGGTGGTGCTGGTGAAAGTGGGGAAGAGATGAAGAGCCATCAAGGCCAAGGCACCAGCCAGCTAATAAATAACTTCTCAAAGTGACAAGGCAAGAAAAATTGCTATAAGCATGATACTGAGATATATGGATGCACATATATAGAATCACGCTAAGTCGCTTCCCTGGTAGCTCAGATGGTAAAGCGTCTGCCTGTAATGCAGGACACCTGGGTTCGATCCCTGGGTCGGGAAGATCCCGTGGAGAAGGAAATGACAACCCACTCCAGTATTCTTGCCTGGAGAATTCCATGGACAGAGGAGCCTGGTAGGCTACAGTCCATGGGATTGCAGAGTCGGACACGACTGAGCGACTTCATTTCACTTTAAGTTGCTTCAGTCCTGTCTGACTCTTTGCAGCCCCATAGAAGTACCCTGCCAGGCTCCTCTGATCATGGGATTCTCCAGGCAAGAATACTGGAGTGGGTTGCCAGTCCCTTCTCCAAGGGATCTTCCCGACCCAGGGATTGAACCTGGGTCTCCTGCATTGCAGGCAGATTCTTTACCATCAAAGCCACCAGGGAAACCCTATAAACTCTATATGCAGGTTTAATTTTAAATTTTCCATGAAAAAACCCAAAATAAAACCTAAAAATGGGAAGAGATATGAGAATGAAGGAGTCTATGTGATTTTTTTTCTTTAATTTGCCATATTAATAAATTGTTCACGTTTCAAAACAAAAATCCAGACCATTAACAAGTAGATCTGAAATAAAATAACTGGGCAGAAAATATTGCTCCCTTGCTTCCTTGGGCTTGTTCAGGGGCTCTTGCCAAATGGTGTGCTCAATACTCACATAGCTTTGATCTGTGAACTGCAAACGAACATCCCATTTCCTTCCTGAGCATGGGTAGGGCTGTCTGTGTTCCAGTCACACCTCACCCCTTGACCTCCCTAGCCCTTTACAGTTGTAGTGGGTTGAATTGTGTTCCTCAGAAAGATATGTCCAACTCTTAATCCCAGGTACTTGCAAATGTGACTTTATTCGTAAATAAGGGCTTTGCAGGTATTATTATGTTGACGATCTCAAGATGAAGTCATCCTGGTTTTAGACTGTGTCTTGAGTCTAATGACTAGTGACCTTATAAGAGAAAATAGAGGGAAATTTGAGACACAAACACAGAAGAGACACTGGGAAGAAGCCACATGAAGATGGAGGCAGGGATTGGAGTGATGTAGCCACATCCAAGGCACCAGGAGCCACTAGAAGCTGAAAGAGGCAAGGGTGGTGATCCTCCCCTAGAAAATCTTAGAGGGAGCTTGGCTCTGCCAACACCTTGATCTCAGACTTCTGGGCCTCAGATCTGTGATAGAACCCATTTGTGTTCATCCCTAGGAAACAATAGAGGAAACAATAGAGTACACAGATGCAGATGAAGGAGAAGCAAGCCTTCGAGTGTGTGGTGTGAGTTTTTCAGGTCCTCTTCTCATCAAACAAATGTTTGCTGAGCTCCTGACATTTATCAGGCACTGCACTGGGCCTCGAGGTTGGAGATGATAACTTAGAGGCAGAGGCAGCTTGACCATGTGCTGTGGTCCATGTCAAAGCATTTGGGCTTCATCTCCTGAACCAGAACAAGCCTCTGAAAGATTGTAAGATGAGTTTGGTGCTTTGGATAAAAAACTTGGAGCAGAGGGCAGTAGGTAGAAGGGGTTTTGGTGGGAACCTGGGAAATGTAGTTAGGACCAGTGTTTTCAAATGTGGAGTGTTGGGCCCTTCATTGAGGAGACTTGGGTAGGAGAGGCCTGTCCTGTCTGAAACATTCATCAGGCCTATTGTTTTCATAATATAAATGATAAGCCATCCCAGCATGAGAAAACCTTGGGTAGTGGAACCCTACAAAAGATAGCATGACAAAATGTTGTAGGGTGATGGATTCTGAAAGATTAATCACACTACACCTCAGATTTTCTGAGTATTTATGTACCATACCAAGTGCTTTTAACTGTTATTTCACTTAATTCTCTAGCAGTCCTGTGAGGAGAGTATTATTATTATTTTTACTTTAATCATGAATAGTTGAGGCTTAGATTCGGGTCAAGTCACACAATTAGGCAGAGGTGGGACTCAACTCGAGTGACTATACTCCTTAGCCATTCCCCAATATTTCACTCCCTTTAAAAAAATTCATTATTTCTTAAAATTTTGTTGCAGTTAATTTACCATGTGTTAATTTCTGCTGTGTAGTTAAGTGACTCAGTCATACATTATATATGTTTTTTGATATTCTCTTCCATTATGGTTTATCATAAGATATTGAATATAGTTTCTTGTGCTATTCAGTAGGAGCTTGTTGTTTGTCCAGCCTATATATACTGGTTTGCCTCTGCTAACCCCAAGCTCCCAATCCTTCCCTCCCTCACCCCTCTGCAATTCCAAGTCTATTTTCTGTGTTTCTGAGTCTGTTTTGTAGTTATGTTCATTTGTTTTATATTTTAGATTTCACATATAAGTGGTATCAGATGGTATTTGTTTTTCTCTTTCTGACTTCATTTAGTATGATAATTTCTAGATCAAATGGCTGAGTAATATTCCATGGTGTATATGTCCCACAGCTTCCTTATAGTATTTTTTGAATTATAGTTTTATCTGGGTATATACCCAGGAGTGGGATTGCTGGATCATATGGAAACTGTAATTTTAGTTTTTTGAGGAACCTTCATACTTTTTTCCACAGTGGCTGCACCAGTTTACATTCCAGAATTACAAGGATGTGAATGAAGGCAGTGGCAGTCAATCTGGGTGGAGCAAGATCGATATGAGGGCAGTTTCAAAAGACTTGTTGACAAATCAAACCGGGAAAGGTGAAGGGAAAAAAATAACTTGGGACACAAGAAAAGATATTATCCACACTTTTTTCTTTCTGCTTTGAAAATATTATATTTAGAATTTTTTGTTTCAAATAGTAAGAATTTTACATAATCAACCCAATACAATCTATATAAAGCAGTTCACTAAAGCTTATGGTACATCTGAGCTATAGAACAGACTTAATTCCATGCAACCGTATTCATCAGTGAATTTTGTAGCAAAGATGATATAAAACGCAAGTGGTCACACATGAGTTTCTCTCTTGGATGGTTAGACTTCTATAGAATGTGTAAACAGATTAATACATTTTACACAGTACAGTTGTGTATCATCAAATACCCTCAATTGCAAAACAAGTCTGATTTTTTTCTGCATTTAACTTCATTTGAGGAAATCTCTGGCATGTATTTTAAGCCATGTTTAATAAGTGCCTGTATTGCTTTTCTAGGGCTGCATAATAAAGTGCCACAGACTAGGTGGCTTAAACAACAACAGAAATATATTTTCTCCCAGTTCTGAAACCTGGAAGTCCAAGATCAAGGTGTCAGCAGGTTGATTTTCTTCTGAGGCCTCTCTCCCTGGCTTGAAGATGACTGCCTTCCTGCTCTGTCTTTGCCTTCTTCTCTGTGCTTTTGTATCCAAATCTCCTCTTATAAGGACAAAAGTCATGTTGGATTATGATCCACCCAAAAGACCTTATTTTAACTTAATCATTCCTTTAAAGACCTTATCTCCAAATTCAGTTATTAGGTTGGTGCAAAAGTAATTGCAGTTTCAAACTGTGAATTTTTTAATCATTTTAACTAGACTCAAACACATCTTTATTAATCAAAATAGGAACCATTACAATCAACACATTTTTGCTAATGAGAAATAATTTGTTTATTCCTATAGTGTAAAAATCCGTGCTTTAGGATTCAACGAACTCTTGGAAAGCATTTTCTGCATCCTGCTGGTTGTGGAAGCGTTTTACCTGTGAAAAGTTGTCAAGATACTTGAAGAAGGGGTAACCTGTTGGCAAGACATCAGGTAAATATTGTGGATAAAGCAAAACTTTTAGCCTAATTTGTTCAACTTTTGAAGCGTTGGCTGTGCAGCGTATGGTCAGGCTTTGTCTTGAGAAAGAATTGGACCCATTCTGCTGACTGATGCCGGCTGCAGGCATTGTAGTTATTGGTGCATCTCATCGATTTGCTGAGCATGTTTCTCACATGTGATTCTTTCGCTGGGATTCAGAAAGCTGTAGTGGATCCAACGGGAAGCAGACCACCAGACAGTGACTTTTTCTGGTGCAAGTTTGACTTTGGGAGGTGCTTTGGAGCTTCTTCTCAGTCCAACTACTGAGCTGTTAATCACTGGTTGTCGAATGAAATCCACTTTTCATTGCATGTTACAACCTGATTGAGAAATGGTCCATTGTTACTGTGTAGAATAAGAGAAGACACTTCAAAACAACGATTTTTTAAAAATTTTCAATCAGCTCTTAAGGCATGCACTCATTGAGCTTTTTCACTTTTCCAATTTGCTTCGAATGCTAAGTGACAGTAGCATGGTCGATGTTGAGCTCTTTGGCAGCTAGTGTAGTTATAAGAGGATCAGCTTTGGTAATGGCTCTCAATTGGTTGTTGTCAACTTCCCATAACTGGCCACTACACTCCTCATCTTCAAGGCTGTCATCTCCTTTGCAAAACTTCTTGACCTATCACTGCGCTGAATGTTTGTTAGCAGTTCCTGGGCCAAAGGCATTGTTGATGTTGCGAGTTGTCTCTGTTGCTTTACGACCCATTTTGAACTCGAATTAGAAAATTGCTTGAATTTGGCTTTTTGTCTAACATCATTTCCATAGTTTAAAATAAATATAAAATAAACAGCAAGTAGTAAGTCATGAGCAAAAAAAAAATTAAAGTGAGAAAAGCACATTAAAATGATGTATAACATAACCACATTTACTTAAGGTATTCCAAAATCAAAAGGCAAATTTCTACAATGCAAAAACCACAATTACTTTTGCGCTGACTTTCTGAGGTTCTGGGGGTTAAGACTTCAACATGAATTTAGGTAGGGGACAGTTTAGGTAGCCCATAGTATTGTCCAAGATCACGAAGTTCAGAGCCGTATTCACGCTGTAGGAAGCCGTTTCTTGAGATGATGGGATCCAGTTGCTCAGGCCATTCAGACAATCAGAACAGAGCCAAAAGTGACTTCACTGTGGGACACTTAGTGAAGTTACCTCCCGCTTCCTTATTATGTGGCCTGTTTCCCAGGGCTAGAGAGATTTCAGTCATTCTTTGGCATTATTGCTGGCCGTGGGGACCTCTACATCTGATATTTTAAAGGGATGAGAACATGGGTGGGTGGAGGTTGAAAGTATTTGTTTAGATACAAGTACATAGACAGGCTGAATGAAATGGTGTGATCTCAGAGGGTGTGTTGAAACTGGCAAAAACTTTGGAGGTCAGTGCTCTGAGACTTCTAGAACTATGTCTCCTTTTCCTTAGTGCAACACTCTCTATGAAAGGTCACTGCACATTCATCAGTTTGACATCATGGAAGAAAAGCTCCCTTCAATCTTGTTTTTCCTTATGTGTGACTCAGAGTTCATTTATTAAGGGAAAAGGCTGTGGAGGTACTTGTATATTTCCTAATAAACAAAGTGAGAGGGAATTTTTTTGCTACATATTGTTTAATTAAAACATATTTCCAACTGATTAGCTCTGTAATAAAACAGGGTAACTACTTTCCATTATTTAAAAATCCTTCCCTGTCTTCCCAGTTGAAGTATTCTTCTGCTCCCCTGTCCAATGAATGGCCTTTTATTTAGCCTCACTTTTGGCCTCACACTGAAGAGTCTCAAATCTGTATCTACCACCTAGACTTTTCCCCTAAGCTTCATAAGTTGATTGCCAGTTCTCTCTAGGTCTTGCCATTTTACTGCTCTATAGGAAGCTTAAACTCTTACATGTAGTATACCAATATGTACCAAATATGTATCAAAGTGAACTTCTTTTTTAAAATTTATTTTATTGAAGTATAGTTGATTTACATAGTTGTATTAAATTTCTGCTATCCAATGAAATGACACAGTTATACACACACACACACACACACACACACACATTCTTTTTTGTATTCTTTTCCTTATGGTTTTTCACAGGATATTGAATATAGTTCCCAGCGTTCTACAGGAGGACCTTATTGTTTATCCATTTTCTTTTTTTTCCATTTATTTTTATTAGTTGGAGGCTAATTACTTTACAATATTGTAGTGGTTTTTGCCATACATTGACATGAATCGTATAATAGTTTATATCTGCTAATCCCCAACTCCCAAAAAAGTGAACTCCCTGTGTCCCTCAGAAATGCTGCTCAGCTTCTAAATGCCCCATTCTGGTTCATGAAACTTACTCAAAGAACTTAGAGATACACTTGTTTTCCTCTCACACCTCATCTCCCATAATTAGACCCCCAATCCTACTAACTCTGTGTCTTAAATACATATCCTGGCTATGCTTTCCTCTCCTTCTCTTACATTTAGATCCCGACCATCTTTTCCCCAAGCCTATTGCATTTGCTTCTCCAGGTGTCTCCCCGTCTCCTGTCTCACTGTTTTCTCCTTTCCTTGGATCCTAAACCTATAGACACATTACAGCCTCCTTAGCCAACATTCCAGGCTCCCATCTGGGGCCTGGCCACTTACACAACATTCTGTCCTGAAACACACCCTTTCCTACAACTTGTGTTGCTTTAATGTAGCCTGATGTTCCCCAACTTGCGGTCATGGCTCATGTGTATATGCAAACTCCTACTTCCCTTGCAAGCACTACACCCTTGGGATGCCTTCCGTGGTTCCCACAGCTTGGACTTGGAGCTCTTTTCTGTGGCTTATGACGTATTGTGCACACTCTTCATTTCACTGGTCTACTGAGGTGAACCAGTTTCCTTATCTGTCTCATACATCGGATTTCCTTATGCCCAAGGACAGTTTTATTCACCTCTCTGCCTCTAGTGTCTAGTCAATCAGTGCCTTTAAGTATACTGAATAAATAAATGTGAAAGTGCTTTCAAAAGTTTCAAGTCTGATGGAAGTATAGGGAATCTTTTTATAAACATATCCCTTAAACATCTATAATGAACTATTGTTTTATTGTCAGAAGACCAGTGAAATCAGAGTTAAAAGCTTCAGGTGCCAATCTGTGTCTAAAATGGGACTAGTGATATTATCTAAGCCAGCTGTGATAATGATAATGTGGGGAAAATTTATTTCTAAACCCTAAATACTTTTCTATGAAAACATGAGTTTAACACCAACTGTGATCAAGTCTTTCTAAAACTATATCCACCTATCTTTCTATTGATATCTATACATATTTGTATATATACAGATATATGTATTTTTTGTACTTTGTCCTGCTTGACTATTTAAGAATTGATCATCACCATCTGTGGAATATTTCCTCAAGTGGTGATTCAGTGATTTCCTTATTTTTAAAAGAGAACAGTTTTTTTGGTAAGATTAGTTTAGGTTAACAAGTCCTTTAACATGTATTTGATTAGGTACCTGCTCATCATATATTAATACAAATAAACATAGAATTATCTAACAAAATTCAACCTGTTCTAACAAATAAAGGGAAGAAATTGAATCCTGTTTAGGTAAAGAGAATTGTTCGAAGTCAAAAAAATCAGTGATTGAATGACTTGAGCTCATATTTTAGTTTTACCTTGAAAGAACCAATACATTTTGCCCAAATTTTTAGGTATTTTGAGAGGAGGTGGGAATTAGCACTGATTTTGAATACAGAAATGAAAAACGGCTCCTCTACCCACCTCCATAAGACATTTTCTATTTTTCCACATGGTATGTTGAAAGTGCTCAATAATTAGGGGGACCATACCTCCCATTTTGTTTAGAACAGTCCTGGGATGTCCTTTTGTCTAGGTAGAATTAATAAAGCACCTCTTTCCTTCTCTGAACTGTCCCTGTTTAGGTGACAAATCCCACCCTCAGTACTTACTGAATGAATGAACGAATGAACTCCTAGCTTCATTCAACGAGAGGAAGCAAAGGAAGGTAAACGTTTCAGCTGTAACATTCTGCATTACATCATCCAGTGGTGTTTTACCTGGGAGCTTTGTCCCCCACAAAGAAATACTCAGGTTTTCTAATATAGAAGCAGCGGAAAGATGCCTCTTCTTGCCTCAGTTCTCTTCTATTCCCTCTTAACTTTTTCCATTAAAAAATTAACATAGTGATCTGGCTGGACAGACCAACGGAGCCATCAAGGTTCTGGAGATGCAGTGACTATTGTGGCAGAATCAGAGAGACCCTACGGTCACCAGATGTCAGAATTATTTTCATATCATGTATGATTTAAACTAACCTGATGATGAGATTTATAGCACTTAGAAAATTTACTTTATTGAAGCATAGTTGATTTTCAGTGCTGTGTTAATTATTTCTGCTGCTGCTAAGTCGCTTCAGTCGTGTCTGACTCTGTGCGACCCCATAGACGGCAGCCCACCAGTCTCCCCCGTCCCTGGAATTCTCCAGGCAAGAACACTGGAGTGGGTTGCCATTTCCTTCTCTAATGCATGAAAGTGAAAAGTGAAAGTGAAGCTGCTCAGTGGTGTCCAACCCTTAGCGACCCCATGGACTGCAGCCTACCAGGCTCCTCCGTCCATGGGATTTTCCAGGCAAGAGTACTGGAGTGGGGTGCCATTGCCTTCTCCTGTGACTTTCTACTGCTCAGCAAAATGATTCAGTTATACACATATATGTTTTTTCATATTCTTTTCCATTATGGTTTATCATAGGATATTAAATATAGTTTCCTATGCTATACAGTAAGAGCTTGTGGTTTACCCATTCTATATGATATATATACTACTTTGCATATGCTAATTCCAAACTCCCAATCCATTCCTTCCTCCCCACTCCCCACTTTAGCAATCACAAGTCTGTTCTCTATGTCTGTGAGTCTGTTTCTGTTTCAAGATTTATAACATTTTTCTGTGGAAATAACATTGGT